TATACTTTGCATTAAAGGTAGTGTTTAGTAAAGAATGTTCTATAAAGCCACATAAGGTAGTTTTTGGCTTATATGTCTCATACTATCCAAATAAACAGAACATAAGAAATCCGTAAGGCAAAAACCTCAGGCAATGCCTAACTTGAGGAAATTACCCTACACAACACCTCCAAAAAATTGTTTGGTTAAAAAGATGTTTTGTTGTTTTTTAGAGATAGGGTCTTGGGCTCTGTCACCCAGACTAAAATGCAGTGGCCTCATCACAGTTCACTATAACCTCAAACTCCTGTGCTCAAGTGATCCTCCCACCTCAGCCTCCAGAGTAGCTAGGATTACAGGCACCCACCACTACAACTAATTTTTTAAAAAATGTTGTGGAGATGGGATCTCACTATGTTGCCCAGGCTGGTCTCAAACAGGCCTCAAATGATCCTCCTGACTCAACCTCCCAAAGTGCTAGGATTATAGGCATGAGCTAAATAAGCAAAAACAGTAGAAAAGATTTTGAATGAGTAATGAAGGAATTTGCCCAACCAGATTTTACAATATATTTTGAAGCTGTAATACTTAAAACAGTGTAGCACAAATAAATGAACAGAAAACCAGAGCAACGGAATGGAGGAACAAGCCCCCAAAATTGACTGAAATGCATAAAAGAATTGAGACTATGATAAGACAGTTCAAATTACTAGAGAAAAGATACCGATTATTTATTCAATAAACATTACTGGAATTGGATAGTCATTTGGACAAAAACAAAGTTGGCACCATCTGGACAAAAGTAAAATTCCTGTTACATACATATGATAAAGAAATTCTAGATGAGTTTATTAAAACCATGAAATGATAAAAGCATTAGAAGAAAATATGGGGGGAAATCTTAACAACTATATCACAAAGGAGAAATTTTCCTTACTATATAAAAAGTTCCTGTAAGTTAAGAAGAAAAATACCATCAACACAATGGGAAACTGAGGAAAAGATAGATTAAAAATATGATATACCATTCATCAAACAGAGAACAAAAAGTGTTATGATGCACTATTTCGTATGGCTAGAGAAACAGGAATTCTCTTATACATTGCTGGTGGAAGTATAAATTGTTACAGTCAATTTATATGGTATTAGTTAACTACATTATGGATTAAATTCTCTAAAAGGAATATTATATGGCCATTAAAAAGAGTAAGTAACACAGGACTATATGTACAAACATAGAACAGCCTCCAAGATAAATTATTAAAAAAACAAGTTATAGAACAGCGTGTACAGTTTGCTATTCATACTGCTACTTTATATTCTTGCATATACAACATTCTAAAAGGATATATATAAAACTGGCAATAGGTGCTGCCTCTGGGTGGCTGGGAAACAAAGTCGGAAAGAAGAGATTTTTTTTTTAAGTACAGCTTTTGTTGTTGTTCGTTGTCTCCTTTGTGTACGTACACTTACTTACTTACAGTGAACTACACACATTTCAAAGTAAGGTTTGGTCCTAAGTGAGGCAATCAGCCTAAGAAGAAGGCGGCATACATTTCTAGTGGGGAAAGAAGTACTTCTTCTGATGAAACAACAATGATTTATCCCAAAGGTTTAGGCAGTTGTTTAGGTCCTTTCTGGTTCGCATGTTCTATTGTTCTAACATCTTACCAGTTGCTTTATGAGCTGATCTTATTTATTCAACATTTAATTACTGAGCAATACTATGTGTCAGATATTACGCTAAGCACCAGTGATATAACCAAATTCTGGTACTTGCATATGGTGGTGTCGAGGATACAGACACGTAAACAGCCAAATGTAACACAAAGTAATTGTACCATGATAAGAAGCAGGGATGTCTAACTGGTTACAGTAAAGGAAGGCTTCCAGGAGGAAATAATATATAAGCTGAGACCCACGAAGTGAACAAAGGAGAAAGGAAAACAGTATTATTTAAAAGCCAAGAAGTGAGCAGCATGTCAGGTTCTTCAGAACAAGTGGAGTTTAGTATACCAGGAATAGTACATAAGCAGGAGTGTGCTGAGAAATTAGCGGAGACATAAGCAAGGCCGAGATCATGAAGTGCTTTACAGGGCAAATTATATTTAAATTGTATCTTAGAAAAATAAAAGTAAACAGGAAAACATTGGTAAACTTGAATTTTAGAAAACCTCTCAATTAAATGTGGGGAATATATTCCAGGATGTCAAGATTAGAAGTAGGGATATAGTTCAGAGTGCTGAAATAATCTAAGAAGCCTGAAGTAATGTTGAAAGAGAGAAGTGAGTTTATTTAAGAGACTAAGATTACTTAGGAAACAGAACCTACAGGACTTGAATAAGTATGAAGGTGAAGGAAGAATCAAGGAGAACTCCTGGGAACTGGTGGGATGTCAGTGCCAATTACGGTGAGTGGCAGGTGGGGAAGGGTGGGCTGTTGAGGGAGGCTGGTGTTTGGTGTTAGATATTGGGAGTTTGAAGTATCTGAGGGACATCAAAGAAGAGAGATGTGTGTCTGGAGCTACTGGCTGAGTTATGCATTGGTGATAAAGATTTATTCTACTTTTTCTGTGAAATAAAGAGGTATTCTGAAGACAAAGACCAGAAGACTTGGTAGTCAAATTTAATGATATTACCATGATTTATGTTAACAACAGTGTTGTGTGATTTTATTATTATTTTTAGCTTTTTCCAGAACCCAAGCATAAAAAGACAAGGATACTTATGCTACCACTTCTATTCAATATAGTACTTGAAGGTCCAGCCAGAACAATTAGCCAAGAAAATGAAATAAAAGGCACCCAAATCAGTCATCAGGATGTCTATTGTCAAAAACACAGAAAATAACAACTGTGGGCAAGGATATCGAGAAATTCAAACATTTGTGTATTAGTGGTAGGAATGTAAAATGGTACAGCTACTGTGGGAAATAATAGGGCGATTCCTCAAAAAAATTAAACATGGAATTATCGTATGATCCAGCAGTTCTATTTTGGGGGTATATACTCAAAAGAAATGAAAGCGGGGACTTGAACAGACATTTGTACATCCATGTTCACAGTATCATTATTCATAATCGCCAAAAGGTCAAAGCAAACCAAGTGCCCATGGATACTGAAACAGACAAAATATGGCAAATACATAAAAATAATAATGAGTTTTAAAAGGGAAGACAATTCTGACACATGCAACCACACTGATGAACCTTGATGATGTTACGCTAAGTGAAATAAGCTAGTCAAAAAGGGACAAATATTGTATGATTCCACTTCTTTTTTTTTTTTCTTTTTCTTTTTTTTTTTTTTGAGACGGAGTTTCGCCCTTGTTACCCAGGCTGGAGTGCAATGGCGCAATCTCGGCTCACTGCAACCTCCGCCTCCTGGGCTCAGGCAATTCTCCTGCCTCAGCCTCCTGAGTAGCTGTGATTACAGGCACGTGCCACCATGCCCAGCTAATTTTTTGCACTTTTAGTAGAGACGGGGTTTCACCATGTTGACCAGGATGGTCTCGATCTCTTGACCTCGTGATCCACCCGCCTCGGCCTCCCAAAGTGCTGGGATTACAGGCTTGAGCCACCACGCCCGGCGTATGATTCCACTTCTATAAGGTACCCAGGATAGTCAAATTCACAGAAATAGAAAGTAGAATGGTAGTTGCCAGGGGCATAGGGAAGGGAGGAATGGGAAATTAGTGTTTTAACAGTTACAGAGTTTCAGTTGGTGGAGATGAAAAAGTTCTGGAGATGGGTGGTGGCCATGGGTACACACAATATGAATGTGTGCACATAGTGCCACAAAACTATACACTTAAAATGGTTAAAATAATAAATTTTATGTCATGAATATTTTACCACAATAAAAAAGAGAAGGAAAACAAAGGGGTAAATTTTAATGACCTTGGATTTGGCAACGGTTTCTAAAGAAACCATAAACAAAAGAGAAAACAAATGATAAATTAGATTTCATCAAAATTTCCATGTGCATCCAAAGACACTATCAAGAAAATGAAGAGAAAACCCATAAAAAGGGAGAAGACACTTGTAAATCATGCACTGTATCTGATAAGGGTCTAGTATCCAGAATATATAAAGCACTCCTACAACTCAACAACAAAAAGACAAACAAATCACTTTAAAACGGGCAAAGACTGAAACAGACATTTCTCCAAAAAAGACATGAAAATAGTCAACAAGTATAGGAAAAGATACTCTGTATCATTAGTCATTAGGGAAATGCAAATCAAAATCATACCATGATGAGGTTATCACCTCATAGCCACTAAGATAGTTGTTTTTTAAAAAGGGAAAATAACAACCATTGGTGAGGATGTGGTGAAACTGGAAGCATCATACACAGCAGCTGGGCATGAAAAATAGTGTAGCTCATATGGAAAACAGTTTGTCAGTTGCTCAAAAAGTTAAATATCAAATTACCATATGACCCAGTAATTCCACTCCTATGTATACAACCAAAAGGACAACAGGTATTTAAACAAAAATTCAAGTACACAAATGTTCCAAGCAGGATTATTCACAACTGCCAAAAGACGGAAACAATCCAAACTGCCCATCAATTGATGACTGGATAAACAACATGTGGGATACCCAAAACATTCAACCATAAAAAGGAATGAGGTGCCGTTAAATGCTACAGTATGGATACACCTTCAAAACATGATGCTAAGTAAAAGAAGTCAAACACAAAAAAACCATAAATTTTATGATTCCATTTAGATAAAATATCCAGAATAGGCAAATCTACAGAAACAAAAAGCAGATTAGTGGTTGCCAAGGTCTGGGGTGAGGGGAGAAATACAAAGTGACTGCTTAATGGGAACAGGGTTTTCTTTTGTGATGATGACAGTATTACAGAACTATATAGTAGCAATGATTACACAACACTGTGAAATGCACTAAATACCACTGAATTGCACATTTCAGAACAGTTAATCTGGTAAATTTTATGTTAAGTGAATTATGCTTCAATTAAAAAAATAAAAGCTCTTCTTTATCACTCTTACCTGACAGTTAATGTCAGCTCTATGTTGTAGCAAGACTGTGACTAGATCCTTATGTCCTCGATCACAGGCCCAATGAAGCAGAGCCCTACCCTAAAAAGATAGAATAAGATAAATGAATTTGTTGTATCAGTTGTAGGGTCATGTAAAAGATACAGTGTTTTAAGAAAGACAAGGAAATATGTAAAATTATGGGTTAATTATTCTAAGAATGAGTGATATAAAAATGTACTATGGGAAAAGCAATAAACAATTAATGGGGCCAGGCACAGTGTCTCATTCCTGTAACCCCAGCACTTTGGGAGGCTGAGGTGGGTGGATCACCTGAGGTCAGGAGTTAAAGACCAGCCTGGCCAACATGGTGAAATCCTGTTTCTGCTAAAAATACAAAAATTAGTGGGGCACGGTGGTGGCTGCTTGTAATCCTCTCTACTTGGGGGGCTGAGGCAGGAGAATTGCCTGAACCTGGAAGGCAGAGGTTGCAGTGAGCTGAGATCATGCCATTGCATTCCAGCCTGGGAGACAGAGCAAAACTCCATCTCAAATCAACAACAACAATCAATCAATTAATGGGAAGCCTCAAGATCTACTTCTGGGTCTATTATGTACTAGCTCAATTGCTTTCAACTCAATCACTTACAGAGTGGAGATAATGATAGTAGTAACAACAACAATATCATTAATATCTGCTGAATGAACTATAAGAAAATGCTTTGTAAACTGTATTTTTAAAATATATGGTTTTCTTAAGTATTATGTCCATTTCTTCTTTCTTCTGGAAAATAATCATATGAATAAAAAAGCAAGCACTTAAACCTAGATAGAAATTATAATCTAAATGTACTATATCTAAATTTCCTCAAATTTATCCCTTAAAAAGATTAAACAGTTTGAAAATAAGCATTTCTCCTTATTATTGCCAAGTTTGCACTCTGAAATACCTCAAAAACACTAGCACAATCTATTAGTGTCTATTATCAAACAGTTGACTGTGAAAGCCACTTGCAAAAGGGAATGGATGATTAACTATTAGGAGATAAACTGTTCAATATGAAATATTAATTTTAACACTTGTCTACCAAGGACTCACAGTTACTACATGCATTATTTCTATTCCCTACTGCCAGAAAATCTTGTTCTAGTTAATGAAAAAAAAAAAAAAAAAAAAAAAAAAAAGCCTACTTTGTTCAGAAGAATAAACAAAACCCCCAAAGCTAAGGGCTTTTCTGACTAAATGAGTGATGTATGGCTTACTACTTTCTGAAGGTGGAAATGATGTTTGTGATTTATAAAGAATGGGATGTTTTTCCACATTAAGTTGAAATTCCTGCTTCATGTCCTTTTAGAAAAGATTTTAAATAGATACAAGCTGGGGCAAGGATTGCTTTAAAGCACAAAGCACCTTTCAAGAAAGCTTTTCTAAAACTGCCTACATTGTTTTTTATCATTCAGACTCTCTTCACACACCTATTAGTTCAACTAATTAAAGTAGGATCTATTCTTCAAACAAAAAACAGAGTAGGAAAACTTCTTCCCGACAAATTGTCTTCTTTTGCTTTCATTTGCTTGATTTACTATTATTTACCTGTGAATATCTGTTTTCTAATAGACTTAAGCAAAATCCTGAGAGGGAGGGAAGCAGAGAATTTAAAAATGTGGGCAAATCATTCACAATTAGTTGTAGTATCGAGACTATTTTATTTTACTGTGTTCAGAGCCCACTAGCAGTTAGTTTTTAGTGGAGACAATTCTAAGAGTACAGGTGAAAATGTATAGTTGAGTACTAGAGCACAGTTTCCTATGTTAAAATTTTTGTAGCTCTAATGTAACCTGCTGTTACTAGGGCTCTAATTCAAAAGCCCTCCATATGAACAATTAGATATTTTAATGACTCTCAAAAAATACTAATGAATAAAATATTCTACAGGTCCACACCACTGTTTCACAACATTTATTAATACATTAAAAGAATCAGATAAAATTTCAAAGTCTATCATTTTTAGTTCTAATTTTAAGTGTGCATTTTAAGGCTACTAGGTTAAGCTACTGACGAGTTACTACACCGTCAAGATGATGTATGATATATTTACACAGGGTACTTACAAAAACTACATACTACTTAAGTAGGACAACATACTATGTTTTGTACTTTTTTTTACCCTAAAATGTATAGATAATTTCCATCTCTCGACCACGTTCCTGAATTTTCCTTAGGTTTGACCCAACAGGGTAACATCAGCTAAAGCTATAATATAAATCTGAGCTGTTTCACAATGGTAAAGCTGACAAGCAACACATTTTACTGTTAATGGGAGTTATATTTTAAATTTTCCATGTGGTGCCAAAAATTTACTTTAGGGGAAATACCTATGACTGGACCTCCGTAGTGATTTCCACTTTGGATATATTTTTCAGAAGGGTAGCACATATATAGCAACGTTTTAAGAAGGATGGTGTGCTCTCAGACATTTACACCATGCTTTTTAACACGTTTTGTGACCCACAATGCAATTAATTCTTGTAACACATTATTTTAATGGTACACTAATTAACCTTGAATTAGAATGAATTCTCTGACAATGACTTTCTGTAGAAGCACTGAAGAGATCTACATTAAGATCACCTAATGATTAATATTCCATGCACTATTAAAAAGCATAAAAACAAGGGCAGGATTAAACATACATGTAAATAAACACAGACAAATCAGGATCTGGAATTTTAACCTTCAAGATGCTCTATACTTAAGTGAACAAAAACCAGCAAAATGAGGTGTGTGTGATATCTTCTACTTCTTCAAATTATAGAGTTCCTCTAAGCATGCTCCAATTTAAGATTATTCACTAACACAACCAGTAATTTGCAGAGATGCTATCTTTATAATTATGATAATATCAGGAAATAAATATCTGTAGTTTCTTTCCTCTTTGTTAACCACAAACACACCTAAACCAACAAAATACAATTATTAAATTATTTTAGGTAAAGGATTCCACAATCTCTCTTCCAGAAGGAAAACCATGAACTAGATGTTCATTAAAGCTATATCTGCTAAAACTTTATCTAAGTTTATGAAATATTTTACCTATTTGTCTATATAATTATCTTTTTCCATGAGTGATAATGTCTCTTATAAATTTTCAAGTTAAATTTATTTTTATTGCTATCACAAAAAGTGACAATTTTTTGTTTCTAATTTTTAAAACTCTTCTGGAAAAATATCCCAGAGGTATTCAGGAGATTGGTGAGGGAGAGCCATTATTAAAAGGAATCTTTGTTAGGCCACCAGAAGCCACAAACACTGGAGAGCTCTGAATAAATTCTGGAACTCAAATACAGTAAAATACAAGGGGGAAAAGAGTTCTCATCTATTAACCAAGGATGCTAACACTGTCCTACCTCAGACAGATGAATGACTCTAAAGTGCTTTCAAAGTGCAGGGTAGCAGCTAACCTATTAAGTGGTATTACTTTCACACCTTCTGGAAAATACAGAGAGCACATCTTAATATATGAAATGCTTCTTTGATTTCCTTAGTAACTTGTCCTTAAACCATGTAGAATTTTAAAATTAGATCTTCCCCCTCAATTTCACAAAATTAAAGAAAAGAGAAGAGATTCTGGCCAGGTATCCATCATAAGACAATAGCATATTCACATGATGGAATATATTCAGCAGTATAAAAGAAGGAAGTACTGAACTATAGCAATATGAATGAGTCAAAAACATTATGCTGAATGAAACACGCCCTACACAGAGTGTATATATATGTATAATCCCATGTATATAAAGTTCTAGAACAAGCAGAACTAATCTATGGTAGAATGATATCAAAACAGTGGTTACTTTTCTGGGATTAAAAGAGTGGCTGGGAAGGAACATGAGGAAATTTTCTGGGGTGACAGCAATGTTCTATATCTTGATAAGAGCTTCAGTTATTCAAGTATACGCGTTTGTCAAAGTACATCAAAAGTGCACTCAAGACTTGTGCATTTCATTGTATATAAGTATTATTTTAAAAGAAAAACTAAACTAATACTGAATTTAGTTAATTATATGCAAGTTAAGTTATTTAGAAGGAAGTGTACTATTATCTGTGTACTCTAAAATGTATCAAAAAATAAAATATATTTGATGACTGGCTAGATAAACCAAGAATAGTAAAATACTAATGGTAGAATCCAGATGGTAGAAATACAGATGTTCATTGTAAAACTCAACTTCTCTGTATGTTTAACATTTTTCATAATAAATTATTGGGAGAAAAAAGAAACAAAAATTTGTTCATAGCATCATTTACAACAGTCAAAAGGTAAGAGCAAAACAAGCGTCCATCAATGGGCATGTGAATAAATAAAATGTGGTGTATGCACACAATGGAGTATTATTTGTCTTACCAAAGGAAACTGACACATGCCACAACATGGACAAACCTTGAAGATGTTACGCTGAGCGAAATAAGCCAGTCAAAAGGGACAGATATTGTTATGACTCCACTTAATGAAGCACCTGCAGTAGTCAAATTCAGATAGAAAATGGAATGGTAGTTGCCAGGGGGCAGGGGAAGGGAGGAATGGGTAGTGTTTCATAGGTACTGAGACTCTTTCTCTCTCTCTTTTTTTTTTTTTGAGACGAACTCTCACTCTGTCACCCAGGCTGGAATGCAGTGGTGCGATCTCAGCTTACCGCAACCTCCGCCTCCCAGGTTCAAGAGATTCTCTTGCCTCAGCCTCTGGAGTAGCTGGGAGTACAGATGTGCACCACTATGGCTGGCTAATTTTTATATTTTTAGTAGAGACGGGGTTTCACCATGTTAGCCAAGCTGGTTTCGAACTCCCGATTTCAGGTGATCGACCCACCTCAGTCTCCCAAAGTGCTGGGATTAAGGCATCAGCTACAACACCTGGCTTGGTACACAGTTTCAACTGGGGAAGATAAAAAAGTTGTATGGTGGTGGTGCTTACACACATAAATTTATTATTTTATTTATTCATTTTTTAATTATGAGATGGGATCTCATTGTGTTGCTCAGCCTAGTCTTTTTTTTTTTTTTGAGATGGAGTTTCACTCTTGTTATCCAGGCTGGAGTGCAA